TTAGGAAGACCTTTCTTAGCCACTGGTGGAACTTTGATTGATGTCCAAAAAGGAGAGCTAACCATGAGACTCCATGACCAGAAAGTCACATTCAATGTCTTCAATTCCTTAAAGTACCCTGATTACTTAGAGGAATGCTCAAGAGTTACTGAGATAGAGACAATGTGCTATGAGGAAGGAGTTAGGAAGGCCTGCAAGTTAGAGGAGGAGGAAAGTGTTGAGATAGGTGATGAGACTGTTGAGGATTTAGAAGGTGATGTCCCATCTGATGCTGCAGCATTTGAGTTGCCGGATAATGGTGAGCTTAAGAATTTTACCCCGTCCATAATTTCACCACCTGACCTGGAGTTAAAGGAACTCCCATCTCATTTGAAGTATGTTTTTCTAGGAGAAGAAGGTACGTTACCTGTCATCATATCATCTACCCTAGAATTACATCAAGAAAAGAAATTGGTGGATATGTTGAAATTGCACACAAAAGCTATGGGATTAATCGTTGACGACCAAAAAGGGATTAGTCCTTATTTTTGTCAACATAAAATTGTCCATGACAATAATTTCACATCCATAGAGCYACAAAGAAAGGTGTCTACTTTTGATAAATCCATAAATAAATTGTTCGGTCTCTCACCCCACATAGGTTCTGAAAATAATGCACTCGTGCACACGACCCCTGAGGCATATGTGGTTGAGAACATGGCTTTCCTTGGAAGGCCTCAGACTGATTGGGAGCCTTACACTCATTTCTTGAAAACCTTTAAGGCTGCCAATTTGTCCCCTGATGAGAATGTTTGGATAAGCTTTATTAGACATTATTTATCACCGACTACTTCAAACAACTCCACTTATGAGGAAAGGTTGTTACTTTTGTTGAGTTTCATAACAGGTGAGAAAGAGAAGGAGCCGGATGGGATGATAAGGATGATGAAAGATCTGTTGGCCCAAAACAGCAGCCTCTTGGAACATAGGAATGAATACCTTGACAAGATAGATAGGTTGAAGGGAGAGTTGGCTGAGAAGAAGACTAGGGGAGACATCAAGTTGGTAAGGGCTGAGTTGGAAGCAAAGATAAGTGCTCAAGTCAAGAAGCTGAAAGCCTTRAAGGAAGAAAATGCAAGGCTGTTTGGTGAGAATGCTAGATTGAAGGAGTGCAAAAGGTTGAAGGACAACATCTCCACTTCACCTACTCCTATGGAGTAGGACAGGTTCTATCATCCCTCTTTAGCTTCTTTTATTTATTTTATTTCAA